GCGGACACCGCGAGGTCACAGCAGCGCCGTCGTCGTCGGCGGCGTCGTCGCCGTCGCCGCCGCCGCCGTCGTCGTCGACGAGGCCGCTGCCACAGCCGCCGACGCAGCTGCCGTCGTCGTCGTTGCCGCCGTCGAGGAAGAGGAGGGGGAGGCGGAGGCCGCGACGGAGAGGAGGGGAGGAGGGAAGTGGATGAGGCATTCTCTCTGTCTCTGTCTCTGTCTCTCGCTCTCTCTCTGTCTCTTTCTTTCGCTCTCTCTCTCTGTCTCTCTCTCTCTCTCTCTCTCTCTCCCTCTCTCCCTTTTCCAGTTCTCTTCTCCCCCATGTTTCTCCCTTTTTGTCAACCCCTGGTGCGACGGAGTACGTGGGTCGGGAAAGGACGAAACGTATTGAGGGTAAGGTGTCTGCGGCTGTGGCAAGCTCTGCGTCCTCCCCTCTCCCGCCCCATCCCCTGATCCGTTCTCTCTTGCCGCCTCGCCACCCTCCCCTCCTCCCGTCCTCCTCCTCTCCTCCCTCGCCCTCCCCTCCCCTCCTCCTCCTCCTCCTCCCTTGGAACAAAAAAAAACACAAGCAAGAAGAACACATTACAGCCAGCGCGAGCTCCAAGCAGTGAGTTATCGCGTTGTGAACGTGAAGGCATGGGAAGCAATCTGCGTGATCTGAGCTGCGCGGCACGACCTCGACGGACCCCCAAGCGCGGGGGGACGGCAACGATCAGGAGGGGAAAAAGCACACAGACACAATGAGTTCGTCGATTCCCGAGAAAGTATGGGAAAGTAGGGGCGTTGGGGGGGAAGACGAAAGCCCAGAATTATATGGGGAACTGTGGGGAAGCCCTTGCGATCTGTGTGCATTTCATTTCTAGCCGCGTGCCCCAGGGCCCCTGCAGGCGAGGCGGCAGCCGGCGGCCGCGGCGAGGCCTCGACGGGCCCCCGCCCCCCCCGGGGTGGGAGGCGGCGGGGCGCCAGCGGCGAGGCCACGCGGCGCGGCCTCCGCCGACCCCCCCCCCCCCCCCAAGCGGGCGCCAGCGAGGCGGCCAGCGGGCGGCGGCGCGGCGCAGCCTCGGCGGGCCGTCCCGAGCTATGAGCGGCACCGGGCGGCGATCCGGCGAGGCCTCGGCGGACCCCTTAGGTGGGCGGCAGCGGGCGGCGACGCGGCGACGCCCCGACGGACCCCCCCCCCGGTGGGCGGCAACGAGGCGGCAAAAAGGCGTCGACGCGGCGAGACCTCGACGGACCCGTCCAATGTCTGCGTCTGAGACAAGTGGAGGCCCGCAAGTGAAAGCACTGCTCGGGGAAGAGGTACGAGCCCTTCAGTGCAAGCACTGACTGGGGAAGTCAGAATGCCTGAGGGTGAGCGCCGTGGGGAACTTTGCGGTGTGAGCTATACATGGTGGCGACGGGTGGCACCAGGCGGCAACGGGACGGAATGTGGCGACTCCCCGACGCACTCACCCAAGCTGCAACGGGCTGGCAAACGTGGCGACTCCTCGACGATGCCACCCAAGCGGCAAGGGGCGGAAACGAGCCGGACTGCGGCAAGTCCTCGACGCACCCTCCCAAGCCACGTGGCGAATCCTCGACTCTCAGCTCCTCTATCTGATGGCCTTCGGCCCATCCCGCCGCCTTGCCTGGGTTGTGGGCCACAGGCCTCTGGGATGTTCGTGGGGATGTCGCCGAAGGCCTCTCGGGGGCCTCTTGGAGGCAGTGTTGAAGCCTCTTGGGTGCCGTTGTGGGGCTTCTTGGAGCGTCTTCGGGGCCTCTTAGCGCCTCCTTGGGGCCTCCTGAGGGCTTCATGGGGCGGAAGACTTGGATTTTTACCTAACAGCGAAGACTGATAGGTTTCTAGTGGGATCAAAAGAGAGCAGCAGATCACTCCACAGGGGGGTCCGGGCAGGTGTTGGGAGTTGCCGGGCGGCAGTGAGCCGGGCTCGTTTTTCACCAACAGTCACACACTTCGTGCTCTTCGCCTTCCCAGAACTCCATTCCCAGGCCACATTCTGGGGGGCCGGATGCAACTGTAGGCCACTTCGTGCTCTTCTATTTCCCAGAACTCCATTCCCGGGCCACATTCTGGGGGGCCGGAGCCAACTGTAGGCCACTTCGTGCTCTTCCATTTCCCAGAACTCCATTCCCGGGCCACATTTTGGATGCCCGGAGCCAACTGTAAGCCACTTCGTGCTCTTCCAGTTCCCAGAACTCCATTCCCGGGCCACATTTTGGATGCCCAGAGCCAACTCTAGTCCACTTCCTGGTCTTCGAGTTCCCAGAACTCCATTCCCGGGCCACATTTTGAATAGCCAGACGCTTCATATTCCTTCCGCCACAGCTGTGTTTGGTTCAGGACTTGCTAGTGACACTGCAGTCCTCTGCATTCAATTGGCCACTACATTCATTCACTGCAGTCCACTGAGTTTTGATTGCAATGGCGTTCCCCTGGCCGTACCCCCATGTCCAACGTTCATCCGCAGCCTCTGCTCCGCGAGGCTCGTCCGAAGTGTCGCCGCCTCGCGGTGCTTCTCAGCCTGCGCCGCCTCGCGGTGCTTCTCAGCCTGCGGAGGAAGGTGGACAGACGCCTGGTTCTGGCGCTGTGCAGCCTGCGTCTTTCACGGTCGCCTCGTTCAATTTCGGGTTCGAGCAGGGCATGATGACTGGTAAGCAGGCGGCCACTCACTGCGCTAACTTCGGAAGGTTGTGCGCCACGATAGTGGAGACCGCTGATGCTGATATTGTCTGTGGCTGCGAGGTCGGTGCGTTCCGTGAAGGCTTTCGCCGAGCAGGGATCAACGTGACAGAGATCCTCAGTAAGCCTTTCGGTGATGGCATTCGCTTCTCGGAGGTCGACAACTACTTGACTCTCTGGGGGTTCCGCGGTGCTTCTCAGCCTGCGGAACTGACTCTGTGCGAAGACAGCAAAGTTTACAGGCCTCCTAGCGGCCGAGAGATTGATGCTGTTATTTCACATTTTGAGGTGAACAAACCAGGCCATGACAAGTTCCACGTGGTGATCGCCAACATGCACATCGTGTGCGGCAAGAAACCGCCGACCATCCAGACTCGAAAGCGGACAGTTCGCCATCTCCGCTTGCACCTGGACGGCCTGGCCAAGATTCTTGAGAATCTAAACCAGGCAGTCGTTCTGCTTGTAGTCGGCGACGACAACCTCACTTTCCAGGAGGCGCGGGAGGCTTACCAGCGCCAGCAGAACGACGAGAAGGTATGGGAGGTCCATGCCACTCCGGCCGACCTCAAAGGCGACCACGTCGCGGTCTGCGGAGCAGTCGCCCGTTTCTGCTCCATTGCCGTTGGCGCGTCTTTTACGGATCGTGGCATGCGCAACGACGCACACGATGCGGTGGCGGTTGTGCTCACTCTCCCTGGTGCTATTCAGCCTGGGGAGAGCAAGAGGCGGAAGATTGTCGTCGAAAACGTCTCCGACGCCGACGTCAGCGTACAGGCGGACCGCGAGTCTTCTGTGCATTGGGATCGGTCGCCGAGTTCTACTCCTCCGCTTTCACCGACTTCACCGGGTGATCCCGACTACGTCGAGGATGTCGTTCAGAATCGCGCGGACGACTTGCACAGGGAGCTGAGGCAGCTTTGGGGCGACAGGTACGACGAGGAGTACGATCCGAAAGTCCTCCATCATCTCAGTCTCTTGCTTTTCAAAAAGAGGAAGTCCACGGAGCCAGCGGACACTAATCCAGCTGGCGCTCCTCAGCCTGGCTCGGAATATGACACGGCCTTTGCGTCTCAGGAGGAGACTGGCCGAGCCATTCTCTCTGTCCTGAAGCTTCGACATGACTTTCTGCGGAGCAAGAACATCGACGACATGCGCTACGTTCTCACGGAGCCTGAGCGCCAGGAATTGGTCAGAGTAGCTCGCGACCAGTACGAGCAGTCGCGGCAGCAGCGTGCGCTTCAGGAACGGGATATCGAAAAGGGAAAAGCGAAAGGCAAGTCTGCGCCACAAGGGGGCCATGCGGTTCCGCAGGGTCCTAACAAAGGGCCAGGCGGTAAGAAAGGTTCTCACGGTGCTTCTCAGCCTGCGGGAAAAGGTGGCCAGGCCAAGGGTGCAGGTCTGGGTAGCGTCGCCAAGTTTGTGAAAGACCAGAAGCGTAAGCGGTGGCGTCGCCATTTGCAACGTGTGGCCGGTACCGAACAGATCTGGGAGGTGCTGGCCTTCTCAGGGCGCTTCGACGTTGATTGGCTAACGCAAGCGTTGCAAGCTGATCACAGCGAGGGCCGTGATGCAGCAGTTCCCGAGGAAGCTCTGCGGCAACAGCGGCGCCGGCTGCACCACCAGAAGGCCGAGGCCATCGCGCGCTACAACGAGGGGGAGCGGCTTTCCCTCCATCTGTCTGCCCAGGCTGGCCAGCCAAAGCCGAACTTCACGCGCAGGCAGCTGGACGTGTTGCAGATGTTTGAGAGCGGAGCGCTGCTTCAAATCCGCAACCAAGCGATTCTGGCGTGCGGGCACGGCCGTCTGTTCAGGGGCGATGGCGACTACCTGGACATCGGCGGCAGCACGGGCGGTGGCTCCAGGCGCATCATCGATTCTTGGCAGCCGCCGGACTGGCGTGACTTCCTCCAAGACGATCAGGACATCTGAGTTTTGCAAGTCTCTCTGCCCGCGGTGCTTCTCAGCCTGCGGTCTGCCGCTCTCCAGCTGCGGTCTCGAGCAGTAGTGTTCGAAAGCATGCGAGTTCCTGCGGTGCTTCTCAGCCTGCAGGTTTCGCAGCCTGCGCTCTGCAGTACAAGTGCTTTTCAGCATGCGACATCCTGCGGTGCTTCTCAGCCTGCAGGGTTCGCAACGTGCGGTTTGCAATGCATTCCTTTTCAGTATGCGAGTTCCTGCGGTGTTTCTCAGGCTGCAGGGCTCCGAGGCTCTTCGCTTCGATGCCAATGTTTTCAGACACCGTAGCTCCGTTCCGTAAACATCTTCCAAGAGCCGCTCGCAACCTTTTGCAGCTGGCGGTCTGCAGACGTAGTCTGTCTCAGCA